ACGTGTTGGTTCCAACTTCTCGCAGTCAGCGATCCGGAAGGGTGGCCTCCATTCCCGCCTCCCTCCCGAGGGGACGGGGCCCCGGGGGCGTAGAGCCGGCCGCAGTTTGCTTTCCGTCGTACGCTCGACCACCTATGATTAATTCCCCGCGGAACAACGGCTCTGCAGACACGTCGTCTCCCTTGGGGACAATGCGTGCACACGCGCAACCGTTACCCTCCTAGACGGGACGGGGATTAGGGCAGAGTTGCAATTCTCAGATGATCTTTATTTGCCTTTTTCGAGCAAAGTCCGTTCGGGCAAGATTCCTTTAGGGCAGGCAACGGGCTCTCTCGGGTTGTAAAAGTCCATGGGCCTGAGTGCGCACCCCTTGAGGTCCGGGGAAGGACTCCGTAACAAAGGGAGACATGGAATTACAGCAAACCAAGGCAAGACAAAGTGGGTGGACGGGGTGGGGAGCCCTCCTCCCCGCACCACGTTTTCCCGCAGGGCGTTCACCTCGGAGACCAACTTCATTGCCAAAGGAGCTGAAAGCCAACTCACCAAGTCCCAGCCCTGCTCCTCAAACTCCCAAACCGGAGGAGGTCGCCTTGCTGCCTTGCATCCCAGCGAAGGCCTCGGGAGCCCAACGTGCCGGCTTTAAATCTTGGGAGAGGACTGAGCAGCCATCGCCGGTCGCGCCTCCCTTCCCTGGGCGAGGACGAGCTGGGGGTCGAGTGGGGGCGGGCTCGGGCTGGAGCTCCGCCGGGGGGGCCCTGGAGCCTGCCCCGCAGCGGCTCCCGGGAGCGTTTCCTGGACCCCTGCGTCACTGCCACCGCCTGGCCCAGCCCCCGCCCGGCTCTCTGTCCAGGCAGCTCGCTAAGGTGATGGACTCCGCCCGAATTTGTTCTCTCCAGTGGATACCAACTCCGGGAAGTGTTTCCTAACGTCTCTTCAGTTCATTGAAGTCCTTGTCTCAAATGACCAACTGTGAGCCAGAATTCACTTGAATGTCTTCTTTGAATGTCGTCCCCCACTCTGCCTCCCTCCCCACCACGGACACACACACACACACACACACACACACACACACTACACATAACGAGAAAAATAGGAGAATGTGTTTTCTACTAAAGGAAATCGATGATACATAAATCCCCATGCATTTGGTTTCTTATTTCCCAATGCTTCGTCTTATAGAAGCACACCACGTCCTTTGACAGGGGTAGTGTTTTAAGAGGTCTTTGTCATTGTGCATATTCCAGAACATGAGAGGTGGGGGGTGGGGGGCATAATTAGCCCAAGCACTTCAGTAAAAGTAAAGCTTGGGGCTTGTGATCATAAAAGAAATATGGCAGTTAATGGGTGAAATGTAATTACTGATTCAAAATTTCTGCTTGCGATTTCAAACTAGTCGTTAGAAAAGTCTGCGATTGCTTTGGTGAAGTGGGCCTGCATACATTCAACCTTGCCATTCTTGTGCAAGTATTGCCTCCAGAGGCCAGGGCTCAGCATGGTGTGTGGCCACCTAAGTGGGACAGTACTGTTACACAGACATCAGAGTGATCTGTAAGGGAGACACAGCTGACAACCCCAAACTAGGTTGACGTGTGGTTAGTACAAAGCAAACCACCCCTTTGATACACTGACCCGAAATAGAAATCCTGACTGTTAAACTAGTTATCATACGTATACATGTGCAACTGTTCAATTATGATTATATTCATTCCGGGCCATTGCTAACTAGACCCCCATAGGTCCATGTATCCCCACGTGTGGGCACAAAAAATTGGACTGTACCCACAAGAAATAGAAATGAATCCAAACAATGATAAACATGTATAAGCGACAGATTTCCACGGAGCTATACATACAGCTGAACATAGCAGACAGATGAATGATTCCAAAAGCTGGTGGGGAAATTGATGCAAGGATGCAAGTCTTTGGTGGGGAAAGGGGAGATAATGTGGATGAGTGTTGTTGATGACTGGCCACGTGCCCTGGAATGCTGCCCAGATGTCCCAGCCCAACACACACACACACACACACTCCACATAAAGAAGGGTGGAAGGGTCTGAGAGGTCCCTTAACATGTCTGGGAGGATTTCCTAGAACAAGTTAGCTAGCTTCCCATCACACCCCAGAAGAAGGGGAAGGTAATGGAAGATGTGAAGGTCTAGTATAAAATACTAGGGCTGGGTTCTTTGAGGTGGGAGGTCAATGGAGATTTGGGAATTGGTTGGGAATAAATTGGTCGTCAAAGAGCGATGGTGGTGCAATGGTATAAGTGCTTGACGATCTGGACCTGTAAGGGTTTCAGCCAGAAAAGCCCCTGGGGCAGTTCCACTCCCCCACAGGGCTGCTCTGAGTCAGAATGGATGGCACGAGCAGCCAGTCAGTCGGACACTGTGACAGCAACTTGACCTAACGAAGACAGTGGACAGGACTGCCTCTGTTGGTGAGCAAAGAAAGTGCGGGTTTTAAAAGACTCCCTTTGTAAACAACTTGTAGTCCTGTGATTAGGAAGCTCGTTTTAAAAGACTCCCTTTGTAAACAACTTGTAGTCCTGCGATCAGGAATTTGCTTGCGATGCAGAGAAGTAGAAAACTATGGGAAGTACTTGGAGGGAGATGGGGAGTGGAACTGTAACATCAAGATGGCCATCTTGGAAAAAAAAACGAGAGGGGTTGATGTTTGTCTGTTAACTGAAGAGGCTAGAGGAGGCCGGAAAAGATGGTTCCAAGTAGCAGATTTAGGAGAGGACCGATGTTTTATTATTTTCTGCAGAGGGACAACTCAAACCTGAATGCCAAGGCCTCTAGGAGAAAGGCAAATCCAAGCGAGGATGATCTCCCATCTGACTCCCACGAAGAGAGCGCATTTAAACAGAAGGAAAGAAAACAAGAAGGGCCGGGGTGGGTGCTGAGAGATTGGGACTCTTATACAGTAGGGATAGACTTGTAAATACGTATGACCATGGTGTACAGATTTATGGCACTATTTAAAACAACTGGGACTAGAAACCCTATACAACCCAGCAATACCTCTGCTGGGCCGATGCTCTCCCATGATCCTGGCAGGTCGCAGGTTGCAATAGCGAGAAGCTGGAAGTAGCCCTAAGGCAGAAGAATGGATAAAGAAACTATGGTCCATACACAGCAGAATCCTATGCATCCCTAAGAAACACTGACGAAGCCCCTCATGACAAGGTGGCCCTGGAAACCAGGATGCTAAGTGAAGGTAGACAATCACAAAAAGACAAAGAGCGTAGGCGACCACTATAAGGATAAGCAAGAAGACAGGCAGACATCAGTCCTCGGCTCATGTCATCGAATCCAGTCTCCTAAGCAACAAGGTGAACCAGAGATCTTAAAAATCACTTCAACAGAGGAGACCTCATCTCAGCTCCGGACAGTTTCTCATGTTGCCGCGGAGCGGGAGAAGACCAATCAATGTCTGCTGTATAACATTGCTCTATGATCACCTCAAATCAGCATACCCCTACAAGGGTGCTTAGTGAACCTTATTTAACTCCAGAGGCACAGCCTGGGTGTGGGGCGGAGGGAAAGGGGACAGGAGCCAGGAGGCCGGTGTCTGTGAACAGGGAGGAACATGCCTGTCTCGGAAAAGATGATTTCACTTCTGTTGGTTGGTAAACCAGGCAGGGCAACCTGCCATTGTTAAACATGCTGAAAATGACTCATCATGGATCCCCAGTGGTAAAAATACCCCCATATGATACTGCTAATTGGGCACCCTTGACCTAGGTGCTATCTGGCGCTTGGTGACCAGGCCAAGAACTATAAATAACCGGGACTTGAGATTTTACCCTTTCAAAGTGCACAACATCAAAGATAGGCTGCACAAGAAGGATCCAATTTGAGAGCCCTCTAAATGAGCTGGGCCTTACCTTCAACACACCTGTAGCTGATGAAGGGAGTGGAACTACTCCCGTGGTCTTACAGCCGAAGCCCCCTGAGAAGAAGCAGATGAGGACTATGCAAGGTGATGGATTCGGAAGTCACTGGACTTTGATTCAAAGTGCTTCCTTGGATGGTGCCTACTAAATGACAAAGGAGCCCTGACGTCTCTCTCACCGCCATGAGCCAATTCGGACTCCATAGCACAAGGTCAGCAGTTCAAAACCACTATCTGCTGCTATGCTCAAGAAAGACTGGCATTTATACTCCCATAAGGAGTTAGTCTTGGAAACCCACAGGGGCAGTTCTACCTTGTCCTGTATGGTCGCTAGGAGCTAGCATTAACCTGATGGCAGTGGGAATCGATGACCGCTGATGTCGACCATAGAGCTGCTGTTTTCACACTCCCTTGGCTTTGTTATGACACGTCAATCCAGCAGGCACAATTCTCCCTCTGTGAATGAGAGTTATTAAAAGGCTTGCCCTACCCCCAACCCTCCTAGTTTTCAGTGTCAAGTCACTTAAGTTCTTAAACTGTGCATTCACGAGTACGTTAAATTCTGTATCATTGGCTAAGTTAATGATGCTATTAATAAAATTATGATATGCTCCATGGGAATGATTTATAATGTTCCCCAATAAAATGATAAGGATGTCTCTAAAGTGAACCAGGGGCATGTGGAAATCATAGATATATTCATGGGTTTCGAGATCTCACTTAATAAAACCAAATTGAATGCCATCAAGGCAAGGCTGACTCACAGGCACCCTATAAGACAGGCTCAAACCATCCCCGTGAGTTTCTGAGACTGTAACTGTTAATGGAGTAGAAAGCCCCGTCTTGCTTCTGTCTCACTTAATAGTAGCCCTAACCTAGGAATAATTTATTTAATTTAATTTTTTTAAGCAAAAGGGAAGAAATGTATTGGAGCCCATACGGCAAACCCTAGAGGGGCCCAGCATCCCCTACTGTGTGGGCATGCCCAGCAAAGGGTCACACCACTCACTGTGTCCCCATGTCCCAGAGGGACTCCCCTTGAGCCGAGCTCCAAAGCCCCAGGACTGCCTGGGGGTGAGAAATAATTTATTCTTATACCATGGCCCTGCTCTATACTTGCCTTCATGAAGAGATCACTGAAGATGTTGGTGCTATAGCAAAGTGTGGTGAAGAAATCAGATGGTGCTTGGATATCAGAAAGAAAAGAATCTGGAGCGTGAAAGACTTGTTGCAAAATAAACAGCCATCAGACCAGAGGATGTGCACTGGTACAGATAGGAACTGGCAACACAGGGAATCCAGGATGCGTGATCCCTTCAGGACCAGTGCTGAGAATGGCGATACCAGGAGGGTGGAGGGAGGGTGGGGTAGAAAGGGGGAACCAATTATAAGGATCTACATAAAACCTCCTCCCTGGGGGACAGGCAACAGAAAAGTGGGTGAAGAGAGACGTCGGACAGGGCAAGATATGACAAAATAATAATTTATAAGTTATCAAGGGCTCATGAGGGAGGGGGGAGCACAGAGGAAGGGGAAAAAATGAGGAACTGATTCCAGGGCCTTAAGTGGAGAGCACATGTTTTGAGAATGATGAGGGCAATGAATGTACAGATGTGCTTTACACAAGTGATGTATGTATGGATTGTGATAAGAGTTGTATGAGCCCCCAGTAAAATGATTTTTAAAAATAAATTTAAAAAAGAAACAGCCATCTAAGTGAGATGCCACCTAAGTTCACATGGAAGAAGCACACCAGTCTGTGTGCTCCA